CCATGATAGTGAAGAGAACAAATACATCTTCTGGTACATAGTTCAGGCTTTGGTTTTTTAAAGGTAATCTACTAAGACTATCTGCACTATTCTCAGATCCAGGTTTGTATTTCAATTCATAATTGTATGCAGTTAGTGTGATAGCCCATCTTTGAATTCTTGGTGAGGCATGCTCAGGTAGGGTTTTGTTTTCTCCAAATAAACCTAGCAATGGTTTATGATCTGTAAAGATGGTGAACTTCCTACCAAACAGAAACTTATGAAATTTCTTAACACCAAAAATGATGCCTAAGCCTTCCCTATCTAACTGAGAATAATTTTTCTCAGCCTGGTTCAAAGATCTACTGGCAAAAGCAATGGGTCTGTCACCCTTCTCATCCATGTGGGACAAGACTGCTCCTACACCATCTGGTGAAGCATCACATGTTAATATAAGTCTTTTCCCTGGGTCATAGTGAGTTAGTAAGGTGTCAGAAGACAAAGCCTCTTTTGCTGTATTAAAAGCAGTATCTTGTTGTTTACCCCAGTGCCAAGTTGCATTTTTCTGTAGCAGCTTGTACAGTGGTGATAGTTTACCAGACAGATTCCCTATGAACTTTGCATAGTAATTTATCAAGCCCAAAAAAGCTCTTAGTTGTTGGGTATTTTCAGGTTTGGGTGCTTCTTTAATGGCTTTTGTTTTCTCAGGTTGAGGTCTAATGCCTTGCTTGCTTAATATATAACCAAGAAAACTAATTTCTGTCAGCATGAATTGACATTTATCTTTGTTTATCTTTAAACCTTTTTCACCAACAATTTTCAATACTTTATCAAGTGTTTTAAGATGTTCAGTGTCATTCTTACCAGTTATGTACACATTGTCAAAGTACACACAAACATTTGGAATATCCTTAAAAATACTGTCCATGACAGCTTGGAAAATTCCAGGGCTGGATGATATGCCAAAACATAGTCTTTCATATTGGTAGAGTCCTTTATGTGTGTTTATTGTCGTATAGACTTTTGAATCTGGATGCAGTTCTAGTTGAGTGTAAGCATGACTAAAGTCTAATTCAGTGAATTTGTCTCCTCCTGCCAAATTCAAAGAAATTTCCTCAATGTTAGGTATAGGGTACCTATTTAGCTCTATTTGCTTATTCAGTGTAGTTTTATAATCTCCACAAATTCTTATAGAACCATCCTTCTTTAACACTGGCACAATGGGTGTCGCCCAATCGGAATAGTCTACCTTCTTTATAATGCCATTAGATTCCAATCTACTTAGCTCATTTTCAATTTTATTCCTCATTGCATAAGGTGGAACTCTAGCTTTGCAGTATCTTGGATTTGTATCTTTAATGCTTAACTTCACTGTTCTATCATTTAGTAATCCTGAATTACCAAAAACACATTTATTTTCAGATATAACTTTATCTAGTGAAGTAAGACTAGATTCTTTTACATTCTTCAATGAACAAATACTCTCCCAATTTAACTTAAGATCACTTAACCAGTTCCTACCTAGTAATGGCGGTCCATTTCCTTCAACCACAAGAAGAGGAAGTTTAACACTTTGACCATTATAACTTACATGAACCATACACTCTCCTATTACCGGAACATTGTCACCAGTGTATGTTGTTAGACACTTGTGACACGGCTGTAGAGGCACTGATCCTCCTGCGACAGCGTCAAAATCTTTCTTTGTTATGACTGTTAGAGATGCTCCAGTGTCAAGTTGGAAGCTGATGCTCTTACCGTTGATATTAACTTGTACATTGATGGGAGCATGACTTATTGATTTAACAGAGAACAGGTTGAAATCCGGCTGCGAATCAGTTTGAGCATTTTCACAGGTAGAGTGGTTCATTGGTTGGGTTAGGTAGTCTTGGTGAGAGTTAACATAGTGCTGCCTTTGGTTGCGGTACTGTCTTGACTGGCTAGATTTAGCAACAGACGAAGACTTTGCAAAGCAGGCCTTGGCAATGTGACCTTGCTTACTGCACTTATAACAAGTTGCAGACTTGAACTTGCACCGATGAGATGCATGGGGACCTTTGCATCGATGACATTTTTGATAATTATTACTAGATTTAGATCTAGGATTTGAACGAGCAGGCTGTTTAGCATAAGTTGGAATGCTCTGTTGGGGTTGATGTTTATTGACTAACCTGCTGTTTACTGCATGGATCCCTGAAGGCGTAAGAGATTTCGTCGCATCTGATGACTGCTGGAATGAAGTTGCAAGTTGTATTGCTTTTTCTAATGTTAGATCTGACTCGAGCAGCAACTTTCTTTGAATATCAGGGCTGTTTACACCTGTCACAAACTTTTCACATAGTCTGTCAGACAGCGTTTCTCCAAATTCACAGAATCTACTTAAATGACGTAAAGCAGCAACATTTTCTGATATCGACTCGTTTGGTTGACGAGTCCTACTGTCAAATTTAGCTCGACATAGAAACTTTGATGGGGTAGGCGCATGGTGGTCTGTTAGCAATTTGCTCAGCTCGTTAAAGCTCTTGGTAGTTAGACTGGCTGGTGCGCATAAGTCTTTTAGTAGCCTAAATTGTTGAGGCCCTATGACTGTTAACAAAACAGCTCTCTTTTTGGCTTCTATCGTCACGTCGTTAGCTTCTAGGTAAAAGCTTAACCTCTCTAGGTAATCTTGAATGATTTCATCATTCGCATCAAATTCTTTTATTTGGCCATACAGCGCCATAATTCTAGAAATAATTAGCTAATAAGCTCTAGCAAACCTCTTTTTTGCGTAAGTAGGTGCTCTTTCTAGTAGATGTTTATCCTTCGTCGCCAGTTATAATAGATTGACGACAGAAGCCTGTGGTTGTATATAACACGTTTAATTGGGTCTAACTACCACGATGATAACACACAGAGAGGGCAGAAGGAAGTACACAAGGGACATCACTCAAGATAACAATATTATAAATATAACTAATACAGAAGAGTGAGTTCCCTTGACCTCACAATTATTTCAATCTATTACAAAAGCCTATTAAGCCTTTTCCTAATAAGCCTTTGGCCTAATTTAAATAACAGCCTATATAATATATAAATAGGCTAAACTACTTGTAAGACCTAATAATAGACTAATGACTAAGAGAGTGCTAGGCCCCTTTCCGATATTATATAATAAATGCTTGATCGATATCATAATCTAACACTGATTACATTAATTTACATAAGGCCATAACATCTTAACTCTAATGGCTAATACTTTTTCTACTAATAAAATAGGCTAGGTCTGGTTTTAACTTAGGCCTAATAGTAATTAGTAATTATAATAAAGTAGGCCATTTTATGACATTTATAAAATTTTTAGTAGATGGCCGAGCCTTAAATTTAAATACTAAAATAGATTTAGCATACTATGCCTATTGTTGGTCTAATTAATAATTTATTTTTCATTTAGAATTTTAGATCTCCAAAACATAGGCCTAGGTCCTAAATAAATTATTTTTATTTTATTGAGCCCGCCTTAATGTATAAGTCAAGTATAAGATGTGATCTGTTTTTTTTTAATAAAAATAACCCTACACAATACTAGGGATTTATCTAATATCTAGTACTACTTTAGGCCTATTTAATTATTTATTAGTAGGCTGAATAAAATCTAAAGCTATACTTTATTACTATATTGGCCTATTATTCTATAATTAATTTATGTTTTCTTTCAATACATAGTAGGTCCTGTGGTACCTCAACATTCTAGTGCCTCGACATACCAGATTTTTTAAATACGAGCAGTTGAGCGAGTAATATTTCGCTTTGAGTTACGCGCAAAATTTGAGATACCATATTTCACAGTTTAACTGAGTTTATGGAAAAGAAATACCCCCAAAAAGATGCAAATGATTATTTATCGCAGCTATTTAATTATAATAATAAGCGTCTTACTCATATTTGCAGCATTATGAAAGGGAGAAAGAAATAAACTTCCTAAACAAGTTTTATTTTAAGCTACCAGCACATGAAAGTGACTTAAATTAAGCATGGCAAAAAAGAAGAGAAAAGCTGTCAAGAAAATTAAGCTACCGTAGGCCCTAATAATTTTATGTTTAAGTCTTAATAAGTGCAACAATGCTCAGTGAATTTTAGCCATTAATGGCATTAAGTTTATGAATAATGAATAATGTGTACTTTTGTGTAGCTTTAGTATATTTTTAGACCTAAGCCTAAGCTTGTAGATATAGATCTACAAACAATTTGAAATAGAAGAGATTTAAAATTGAATAGATCCTAAAGGACAGATATGCCACGGAAATAATTATCTTTCTATACTACTAATAAAATACTATCTAGTCAATCTAGACTAGCTAGTGCTACTGAAAAATTACTAGACTAGATCTAGCTAACTAGCTAGATTCTATCATTTACTTTCGACGCACTAGGCATACTTTTAACTTTTTCTCTCTAGATCTAGTCAATAATGTAGATTTCTAGATCTAGATCTAAATGTAAATCTAGATCTTGTAGATTTACGTAGGTTTTACATCAGTGTAAATCGTTGATCAAGTAGATCTAGTCTAGATCTAGATCTGGACTAGCTCTCGTCAAAAGAAAATGGCTGGAATATTAGCTTCAAAACACCTACAGTTTATGCTTTCCTAATTGTGGAGAGCATGTTTAATTATTGTTTTATTTTCAACGACAGTGTTGACTGAGAAACCACCAAAGGGTTTTATTCTCAACGACACAGTCGGAGAGAGGCTCAACGATTCTGTCGTTGAGATGATCCGCATGGGGTGGAAATTTCATCAACCTAGCTGTAACGGTACTCAAGTAATCGTGTTTACACACAGACAGACACACACACACACACACACACAGACATACGGACAAGATTGCAAAATTATGTTTTTCCGTATCAGTGAGGTGTACGATTACAAGACTTTCTCTATACTTCGTATATACGAGAAAGTAAAAACCTAAGTATAATCTGTGTAAACATTGGGAACTCCGATCTGCCGTCATTGAGGAGTTTACCGAAGTTAGACGTGGCTCAGTGCGCTGGTGGCTAACACGTCTGACTCTTTGTGTCGTCTGCATATCCACCTGACGTAAGGTATGTTTGCAATTGATTACCGTGTACACTTAAAAATATCTTTTACATATATTGATATACACACCTATTAGATCTATTTACTTGAGAGCATTTACGAGTGTTAAAGTACCAAAGTCTGTAAGCCATGCTAGTTGGTGCATCCTCGTATTGAAAAAATAAAGTAAACATTCTTACTTCATCCTCTTGATACACACCCCCCCTCCATCTTTGATGCAACTCCCGTCTAAAGTTGATGACGTCATGACATAGTAGCAGCCCTTCATGTTGTTTGGTTGGGTCATCATCATGGTTAGGATGTTAACATGCTACACAATTAGATGGGATGTTAACATGCTACACAATTAGATGGGATTTTCACATGGGAAACATTTTGTTGGTGTGTTCAGTATATTTAGCTCAAAGATAGGTTGTTAACACATTATATATTCTGATGGGTTAAACGTAAACACATTATATTTTTGATAGTACACATTATATATTCTGATGGGTTAAACGTCAACACATTATATTTTTGATAGTACACATTATATATTCTGATGGGTTAAACGTCAACACATTATATTTTTAATGGTACACATTATATATTTTGGTGGTACACATTATATTTTTTTGATGGCACACATTATGTATTTTTGATGGCACACATTACATATTTGATGGTACACATTGTATATTTTGATGGTACACATTATATATTTTTGATGGTACACATTATATATTTTTGATGGTGCACATTGTATATTTTGGTGGTACACATTATATATTTTGGTGGTACACATTATATATTTTTGGTGGTACACATTATATATTTTGGTGGTACACATTATATATTTTTGATGGTACACATTATATATTTTTGATGGTACACATTATATATTTTGATGGCACACATTATATATTTTTGATGGTACACATTGTATATTTTGATGGTACACATTATATATTTTTGATGGTACACATTATTTATTTTTGATGGTGCACATTGTATATTTTGGTGGTACACATTATATATTTTGGTGGTACACATTATATATTTTTGATGGTACACATTGTATATTTTGATGGTACACTTTATACATTTTTGATGGTACACATTATATATTTTGATGGTACACATTGTATATTTTGGTGGTACACATTATTTATTTTTGATGGCACACATTATATATTTTTGATGGCACACATATATTTTTGATGGTACACATTATATATTTTTGATGGTACACATTATATATTTTTGATGGTACACATTATATATTTTGATGGTACACATTGTATATTTTGATGGCCAAAATGTTAACACGTAAGCCAGGTAAATAGCTATCATTATCTCATCTCGCTGTCACTGTTAAGTCAACTGTCCTAAATCCCTTATCAAAGTTTATCTTTCTATTTAAAAAAAAAACAACAACTTTAATTTCCTTACAGAAGATCTCAATGGGAAACAACTCCACTAAGCAAACAGACCGCAAGTCGAAGTCTTGTACAGTTTTAACAGGTAGAGAAATCAAGGGAAATAAATCTCACGTGAAAAAGTTTATTTTAGTCATTTTTTAGGCTGCGATTTTAAAGCAAATATTTTTAGTTGCAGCAATCCCATGTACACAAAAACAACACATGCAGCAGTCCCATGTACACAAAAACAACGCATGCAGCAGTTCCATGTACACAAAAACAACGCATGCAGCAGTTCCATGTACACAAAAACCACAGCCAACTCCTACACTACATACTCCAGCTACTAATTCATTCAGTCTTTTTATGCGGTTGTGTATTCGTATACTTATCACATTAGATATAGATCTAGACCTACTTATCACATTAGATATAGATCTAGACCTACTTATCACATTAGATATAGATCTAGACCTACTTATTGCTGGTTGTGTATTCGTATACTTTTCAAATTAGATATAGATCTAGACCTACTTATCACATTAGATATAGACCTAGACCTACTTATCACATTAGATATAGATCTAGACCTACTTATCACATTAGATATAGATCTAGACCTACTTATCACATTAGATATAGATCTAGACCTACTTATCACATTAGATATAGACCTAGACCTACGTATCAAATTAGATATAGATCTAGACCTACTTATCAAATTAGATATAGATCTAGACCTACTTATCACATTAGATATAGACCTAGACCTACTTATCAAATTAGATATAGACCTAGACCTACTTATCACATTAGATATAGACCTAGACCTACTTTTCACATTAGATATAGATCTAGACCTACTTATAAAATTAGATATAGATCTAGACATACTTTTCACATTAGATTTAGATCTAGACCTACTTATCACATTAGATATAGACCTAGACCTACTTATCAAATTAGATATAGATCTAGACCTACTTATCAAATTAGATATAGATCTAGACCTACTTATCACATTAGATATAGACCTAGACCTACTTATCACATTAGATATAGACCTAGACCTACTTATTGTTGGTTGTGTATTCGTATACCTTTCACATTAGATATAGATCTAGACCTACTTATCACATTAGATATAGATCTAGACCTACTTATTGTTGGTTGTGTATTCGTATACATTTCACATTAGATATAGATCTAGACCTACTTATCACATCTATAATATAAGCGGGCTGAGCGTGTGTCAGTCCTTCCTTCCTTCCTTCCTTCTGTCATCGCTATAGCTTTTGGAACCATAAAAGTAAACATTCGCACCACGCAGTGCTTTTCAGTGCACCGCAGTGTCTTATTATAAGTATTAGAGTAGAGTTTGTTTATATAGCGGCATAGAGCTATTTTATAATTTCCACTGTTTGTACAATTTTGCATAACGTAAAGATAATATTAAATACACGCACATTGCTAAAACATATTAAAAGGATCAATGTCAAATATAGTTTTCGTTAATATTCCTCGAAAAAGTGGATACATTTTAATAACATAATAACAGTACGGTAGAAAAATCAAATTAATTTAACTCTTTTCTAATTTTGACAAAGGAGGTAATTTAAAAATACATTAAACTCACGCTAATAAAAAATGTGAATGCAAATATACGTTCGTCATAGAAGGAATTAGTGTTGCAATAATATAATTAGCAAAATGTGAATGCAAATTATTCGGATGTGTAAGAGGAAATTATTGTTAGAAAATTATAATTAGCATGGATTGATAAAAGGCAATCTTTTATTTATTTTATTCACTGAATGTAGGCCCTACTGTTTATTACTTATAATTTTTAATCAACTATTCAGCACTATTAAAGACGCGTCATCACGTTCATTAGGTGCGCAATGGTTTTAGTTATTAAACTCTTTTGTAAATTTTTAAAATTTAAAGTACTGGAAAAAAATGCGTGAATGGATAAAGTGAAATATTGTAGGTAAAACACGGATATTTTAAATACTGCCTATTATTTATACTGTTTTCTAATTATTATTCTATCTTTCGGGTTTTATAGGAGAGGCGTAGCGAGGGGAGGGCATATGTCCCCGGGTGCCGACCTTAGGGGGCGCCAAACTGGGTTGGAAAAAATTTGCGAGGGGGGGGGGTGGAAATCGAAAGTTTTAGGGCGGGGGGGGGGGGGACAGGGGTGCAAATCGAAAGTTTGAGGGGGGTGCAAATCATCGGAAAGGGTGCGATTTGGCGCTACGGGATAGACTGTGAGCAATATGCCTTTATGATTGCATTTAAATTGTGTTTATGTTATGAGTGTTGTGTTTGTTTTTTCGTTTGTGTTTTTTTTTGCGTTCGTTTGTGTTGTGTTTAGTTTTGTTCTGTTCCCAAGTTGGTACATTTAAAAAAGATTTACCGTGGCGGAGCACGGGATGCAGCTAGTCTATAGTATAAGCGGGCTGAGCGTGTGTCAGTCCTTCCTTCCTTCCTTCCTTCTGTCATCGCTATAGCTTTTGGAACCATAAAAGTAAACATTCGCACCACGCAGTGCTTTTCAGTGCACCGCAGTGTCTTATTATAAGTATTAGAGTAGAGTTTGTTTATATAGCGGCATAGAGCTATTTTATAATTTCCACTGTTTGTACAATTTTGCATAACGTAAAGATAATATTAAATACACGCACATTGCTAAAACATATTAAAAGGATCAATGTCAAATATAGTTTTCGTTAATATTCCTCGAAAAAGTGGATACATTTCAATAACATAATAACAGTACGGTAGAAAAATCAAATTAATTTAACTCTTTTCTAATTTTGACAAAGGAGGTAATTTAAAAATACATTAAACTCACGCTAATAAAAAATGTGAATGCAAATATACGTTCGTCATAGAAGGAATTAGTGTTGCAATAATATAATTAGCAAAATGTGAATGCAAATTATTCGGATGTGTAAGAGGAAATTATTGTTAGAAAATTATAATTAGCATGGATTGATAAAAGGCAATCTTTTATTTATTTTATTCACTGAATGTAGGCCCTACTGTTTATTACTTATAATTTTTAATCAACTATTCAGCACTATTAAAGACGCGTCATCACGTTCATTAGGTGCGCAATGGTTTTAGTTATTAAACTCTTTTGTAAATTTTTAAAATTTAAAGTACTGGAAAAAAATGCGTGAATGGATAAAGTGAAATATTGTAGGTAAAACACGGATATTTTAAATACTGCCTATTATTTATACTGTTTTCTAATTATTATTCTATCTTTCGGGTTTTATAGGAGAGGCGTAGCGAGGGGAGGGCATATGTCCCCGGGTGCCGACCTTAGGGGGCGCCAAACTGGGTTGGAAAAAATTTGCGAGGGGGGGGGGTGGAAATCGAAAGTTTTAGGGCGGGGGGGGGGGGGGGACAGGGGTGCAAATCGAAAGTTTGAGGGGGGTGCAAATCATCGGAAAGGGTGCGATTTGGCGCTACGGGATAGACTGTGAGCAATATGCCTTTATGATTGCATTTAAATTGTGTTTATGTTATGAGTGTTGTGTTTGTTTTTTCGTTTGTGTTTTTTTTTGCGTTCGTTTGTGTTGTGTTTAGTTTTGTTCTGTTCCCAAGTTGGTACATTTAAAAAAGATTTACCGTGGCGGAGCACGGGATGCAGCTAGTTAGATATAGATCTAGACCTACTTATCACATTAGATATAGATCTAGACCTACTTATCACATTAGATATAGATCTGGACCTACTTTTCACATTAGATATAGATCTAGACCTACTTATCACATTAGATATAGATCTAGACCTACTTATCACATTAGATATAGATCTAGACCTACTTATCACATTAGATATAGATATAGACCTACTTATCACATTAGATATAGATCTAGACCTACTTATCACATTAGATATAGATCTAGACCTACTTATCACATTAGATATAGATCTAGACCTACTTATCACATTAGATATAGATCTAGACCTACTTATCACATTAGATATAGATCTAGACCTACTTATTGCTGGTTGTGTATTCGTATACTTTTCAAATTAGATATAGACCTAGACCTACTTATCACATTAGATATAGATCTAGACCTACTTATCACATTAGATATAGATCTAGACCTACTTATTGCTGGTTGTGTATTCGTATACTTTTCAAATTAGATATAGATCTAGACCTACTTATCACATTAGATATAGACCTAGACCTACTTATCACATTAGATATAGATCTAGACCTACTTATCACATTAGATATAGATCTAGACCTACTTATCACATTAGATATAGATCTAGACCTACTTATCACATTAGATATAGATATAGACCTACTTATCACATTAGATTTAGATCTAGACCTACTTATCACATTAGATATAGATCTAGACCTACTTATCACATTAGATATAGATCTAGACCTACTTATCACATTAGATATAGATCTAGACCTACTTATCACATTAGATATAGATCTAGACCTACTTATTGCTGGTTGTGTATTCGTATACTTTTCAAATTAGATATAGACCTAGACCTACTTATCACATTAGATATAGATCTAGACCTACTTATCACATTAGATATAGATCTAGACCTACTTATCACATTAGATATACACCTAGACCTACTTATCACATTAGATATAGATCTAGACCTACTTATCACATTAGATATAGATCTAGACCTACTTATCACATTAGATATAGATCTAGACCTACTTATCACATTAGATATAGATCTAGACCTACGTATCAAATTAGATATAGATCTAGACCTACTTATCAAATTAGATATAGATCTAGACCTACTTATCACATTAGATATAGACCTAGACCTACTTATCACATTAGATATAGATCTAGACCTACTTATCACATTAGATATAGATCTAGACCTACTTATCACATTAGATATAGACCTAGACCTACTTATCACATTAGATATAGATCTAGACCTACTTATCACATTAGATATAGATCTAGACCTACTTATCACATTAGATATAGATCTACACCTACTTATCACATTAGATATAGACCTAGACCTACTTATCACATTAGATATAGACCTAGACCTACTTATCACATTAGATATAGATCTAGACCTACTTATCACATTAGATATAGATCTAGACCTACTTATCACATTAGATATAGATCTACACCTACTTATCACATTAGATATAGACCTAGACCTACTTATCACATTAGATATAGATCCAGACCTACTTATCACATTAGATATAGACCTAGACCTACTTATCACATTAGATATAGATCTAGACCTACTTATCACATTAGATATAGACCTAGACCTACTTATCACATTAGATATAGATCCAGACCTACTTATCACATTCGATATAGACCTGGACCTACTTATTGCTGCCGATATTTGTTTCAGATCACTGCGAGGCTGAAGTCTGTGAACAGGGTGAAGCAGAGTTACCCGGCCGTCTGGTCAGTTGCACAAAAAACCCAGGGCACGCAGACTTTTTGTCTGTCGCAGACTTCTCCAGCTCTCACCTGCCGGAAGTTTACCAAAACAGCAGACTGCATGACGTCATCGATGCTCTAGCCGGCATAACGGCGTTGATCAAGGTGTACTACACAAGTCTAGCTCGACCTGAGTTCCACCCTAGTACCAACAGCCCTTACCCCTGCTATCATTATAGAGGAAGTGACGTACTCCGCACCGGCACCGCCAGGTTAAGCCAAGTCCAAAAGTTCGCCAGTGTCAAATACAGACATCCCTGTCGCTGCCACAAGTGCCAACGGTCGACCCACCCGAGCAGAACTTGGGGGACGGTCGAATTTTTCACGGCGACACATATCGTGTTTGACAGCACGGAAGCGTGTCGGGCGACGTGTGTTCTAGGTTACGACACACCCGACAGTACCCTGACCTACATTGACGGCTGGAGGGTGAGCACGGCAGACGTGAAGGACGACTGGTGCGTGTTGACGTGCGTCACGTGCGACACGAAGCTGCTGGAGCGCCTCCAAGAGCTGAAGAGTCAGTTCAACCAGCTGTGTTGGCGCGAGCAGGGCAGCTTGAAGAGTTTGGAGGAGGAGAGGAAACTAACCATCATCGTCTCCCATCCTCACGGCGGGCCCAAGCGTATTTCTCTTGGGAGACAGACACAAAGATTGGTTCAGTACAACGGCGGGCATAAGTGTACCAAGTACACGTACACTACTGGCACATGCCCGGGCAGCAGTGGTGCCCCGGTGTACACAGCGGGGGAGGAGAGGTTTATGTACCCGCTAGCCCACAGTGGGGCGGGGCCTGGTGGGAACTATAGTGGGAACAAGAGGGAACCCTCAGGGCAGTAGGGCAGTGGTGGAGTGGTAGGTGTGGGGTGGTAGATGTAGGGTGATAGGTGTGGGGTGGTAGGTGTGGGGTGGTAGGTGTGGGGTGGTAGGTGTTGGGTGGTAAGACATCACTTGATGGTAGGACAAGAGTAAGAAGGTAGAAGAAGAGTGGATGGTAGGACATCAGTGTGATAGTAGGATATGAATGTACACATCAGTAAGATGGTAAGATAAGATTAGGATGGTAGGACATAATTGTCATAGTAGAACATAATTGTGATTATCCTAATATATAAAAGCTCTTGTGCGCACTTCTCTCTCTCTATGTCCGCAATATTTATGCAACGTCGTCAGCATGTTCAGCGATATATGGAAAACTTAAAGATAACGACTTTGGTTGAAAATAATATGGTGGACGTTATAAATGTATAAATAAAATTATATTTCAAGAAGGAAAATAAAAAATAAAGGCATATTCGAATGGAGAAACAGATTTCTAACTAAAGCGTTTATTGTCGTGACAAGAACGCAATAAACAATGACGTCACATGACACATGTTTAAACTAAGTCTAAGGAAAGAACACAAAACTAATGGCATTATCTTCCAATTTTAGAATATAAAGAAATAAACTATTTCATTCAAATTTGATTTAGATCTACTTATCAATTAGACGTACGCTATGAAATGTATACATTACAATTTTCTTCTTATAAAAATTACTTTATCTATTTGGATTCTAGATCTAGGTCTACGGAAAAACTACACTTCGATTCTAGATCTAGAATCTATTCCAATATGAGTTTCTATGCTAAACTGTTTCAGGCATTAATTATTTTATTTAAATCTTTGTTTAGCAATGGAATTGGCGAATCTGGGATAAAATCTAAGACGAAATAATAAGGCCTATTCTTAAGGTTCTTAAGTACCCCACATATTCTGCATAAAAGCTAAACTACCTAAATGGCTGAGATGGTAGTGTAATACAGTGGCGTAGCGAGGTCGGTTGTCACCCGGTGCGGCACTTAATGGTGTCACCCCCCCCCCCCCAGAGGCGTAGCGACCCCCCCCCTCAAACTTTCGATTTGCACCCCCCCTCAAACTTTCGATTTTGCACCCCCCCCCCTCAAGTTTTCGATTTGCACCTCCCCCTCAAGTTTTTCTCTATATATTTTGCTATTTTTTGCCTTGGTGTCACCCCCCTAAATGGTGTCACCCGGTGCGGTCCGCACCCCCCGCCCCCCCTCGCTACGCCCCTGGTGTAATACATACCATGCGGGTAGTACGGGTTCGAGACACACCAAGTCTATCTTCAATTTTTTTTTCATTTTTTGTTTATATATGTGAATGATAAAGTTGCCTATCGGGACTTGGCAGGACATGTAGAGTTCACCTTTTTCTGTCTTCTCAGCATATGATGGGATAGTGTGGTCAGACCCACTTTCAGCCGAAAGAGGTGTTTTTAAAAGACAAAAACAACGTAACTACCATTGAACAGGCGGGTTTTTAACGAAATCATTTGTCTCTTAATTCTAAGTTTCTTAATCAGCGTGTGCATTTAATATGGTATTGTGTTGACTAATACTGTATATAATTTGGTTTCAACTTTTCTAATAGTTATTGGTAGTCTATGTTATTTTAAACAAGTATAAACATAGAAAGTACACAAAACAAAACCCTTTCTTTTTCATAATCTTAACAATGTTACATTTCAATGTTCCTGATCAATAAAATGTTTCTTTTCCTATGTTTCCGATTACAAGCTCAATTACAATTCATTTCATTACTCACTTTCCGTAGGTATATACATTTTCTTCTGACATCTCTACCGTTTCTTCCCCTTTCACCTCCGAACGAAATTGAAAAAAGTAATTCATACAAAAATAAAAATAAAACCGTATCCGCTACCCCCCCCCCCCCCCCCCAAACACACACACTCACACATCCCCCACACCCTCCCCCGGACAGTTTTAAATGCTGCTCCCCAGAGATAAATATCTAAAAGAAAAAGAAGAGAGCTAAGAGCCGCCAGAATTGCCCGTGCAACGGGTACCGATGGCTAGTAGGACTATAAAAGACGAAAAGTTGAGAGTGAAGACAATGAAAGACAACCCAAGAAATATTATTTTACAGTAATAAATCAGTTACGCCCCTTTTGCGAAATTAAAAAAAAAAACATTTTGTAAAACAGTGAATGTGTAACAACTACGATAGATCAGTGACTATAGATGGTTTATGTTAGTTCTTCCCTGGCTAGTCGTAACAGCTTTTGGAAACAAAAAAATAAAAAATAAAAAGAATCATCAAAACAGAATCAGTGGCTAGCTACACCGAGAATGTCCATACGCTAGAGAGTATGTTGAAAGTAGCCAGCTCTACAGTGATTGATGTAGAACAACCACCCAGTTCCTACATAACCACCTACTGTTGTTACCGTTACAAAACAAAGTTTATTATTACTGTTGTTATTTTAATAGCGCAATAAAATCTCGTTCTGGAAATGTAAATATTTATTCTTGATCAGTCAAATAAATCTAAAAAAAAAAATCAATTTAAAGGCCAGAAAGTTAACATCGAATTGTCAGTTTTAACAGTTTCAAAATGATTGACACTTTAAAAAAAAATGGTTGATTTAAATGAACGACTTGAGTCAATTACTGACTGAATGATGAAGCTAATGATGTACGCTGTATTGATTGACAGGCTAATGAGTGAGTGTCTAGCCTCACAGCCGATGTCACAAATCTCGAGCAGATACAGGAGTGTCAAATGGTGGTGGGCTCTGTAGGTAGGGGGGGGGGGGGGATACTGTGAGTGCATTAGGCTGACCAGGTGCACTGGGCTGACCTTCTACTGATGACCTTCTGCATTGGGCTGATTTCTAGTGATGACCTTCTGCACTGAGCTCACCAGGTGTACTTGGCTGACCTTCTAGCGATGACCTTTTGCATTGGGCTGACCTTCTTTTGATGACCTTCTGCATTGGGCTGACCGTTTAGTACTGACCCATATGATTGGGCTGACCACGTCAAACATTAGACTCTCAATAATTCAGATCTCGAATAATTTAAAAACATATCTAGTTTTAAATTCCTCGATGTATAAACATTAACATTTTTAACTTCTGTTTGACTGAACGAATTTAATAAAATGTTAAGTTCGATGGCAATAAATAAAAAAAAACAACGCGTGTTTTTCTACTATCATATCTATAGTATATTTATTTATAAATATTTTTTTATTAAGGACATTTATTTTCTCATTAAAAGCATGTTATCAAGCTTTGTAATGCTTTTCAAAAGAATTTTACTTTTCTAGTATTTGATCATTGTAAATTATTCGATATTTAACTATTAAAAGGACTAAATTAATTAACTAAATCCCCCCCACACACCCCTGACACACACACACACACACACACACACACACACACACACACACACACCACCGCAACTAAATATATTAGCTATAAAACCTGATCAGTAACCCTACATAACAACTATCTATTAAAGTCTGTCGTTGGCTCCCAAGTTTGTAAACATCATGCAGTACCATTGCTTTTTAATCTTGTTATCTTCCTGTTTCTATTGAATACAGAAATACACAATTAGATTTCAAATCAGATATTCTTTTCTTGTCATCAGAAGGGAATTGATCCGGAAAGGATGAAATCGCAATATTTAAGTGGATATAGAGTGGATAATATTGAGATATAGCATTTTACTACAAACAGGCAGACATTGTGAAAGCTAATACATACATACGTATATATATATATATATATATATATATATATATATATATATATATATATATATATATATATATATATATATATATATATTCTTGTAAGCTGCTAAGGCAAAGACCTAGATTTTTTTCATTCTGGACGTCACACACACACACTTAGACTACAGTACACGCATTCAAATGACACTCCAAAATAACCACACACACACACACACACATACACACACACACTGACACTACAGTACACGCATACAACGGACACGCCAACATAATCACACACACACACACACATACACAAACGCACTGACACTACAGTACACGCATACAACGGACACCCCAACATAACCACACACAACACAACAGCAGCTGTCAATACGAGAAATGTAAAGAGATGTACCAGTACTTCAAAACTCACACAAGCCAAAAGAACGCAATAACATAAACGATTCAGGTTTTTTTTATAAAGAAGACATTGAACTCACGAACTCGACGTTAGAGTAATTTTTATGTGGGTTTTGTGTTTAAACTAGTGTAGGACATCAAAGAGCAGATAATGGTCTTGATCTTTAGCCTGGTTTATGTGTGGTTCGAGAGAACTTGCTTCCCTCTTAGAGGTTCGCCTGATATCTCTGGTCTATGTTTGGTACCGGCTCTTTGTCTTTACTCGTACAGTGGGTGGCGTGAGTGTGAGCGGTACTTTAGGTGGGCTGGGGTATACATCATTACATGGTGTAATGTGGAGAGGTGAATCGGTGCAATTACACTGGGTACAACTGGCCTATACTGTACAAGCACAAACTGACCTACACTGTACCAGTACAAACTGACCAATACTGTACTAATACAAACTGACCAATACTGTACTAATACAAACTGACCAATACTGTACTAATACAAACTGACCAATACTGTACTAATACAAACTGACCAATACTGTACTAATACAAACTGACCAATACTGTACTAATACAAACTGACCAATACTGTACTAATACAAACTGACCAATACTGTACTAATACAAACTGACCAATACTGTACTAATACAAACTGACCAATACTGTACCAATACAAACTGACCTATACTGTACAAGTACCAACTGACCTATACTGTACCAATACAAACTGACCTATACTGTACCAGTACAAACTGACCAATACTGTACCAATACAAACTGACCTATACTGTACCAATACAAACTGACCTACACTGTACCAATACAAACTGACCTAAACTGTACCAGTACCAACTGACCTACACTGTACCAGTACCAACTGACCTATACTGAACCAGTACAAACTGACCTA